CAGATTTTTTTTTTTATTACAAAATATTTTTTGGGAAGAAAGACCGATCTAATATGAGAAGAAAACAACTATTTCCCTTTTCTGGTGGAAATAGGATAGAAGAGAGGATAAGGCCGAGTTTGAACTGATCTTAAGTGACAAACTCTCTTCCACCTCTTTCAATTTTGACTTTATAACTTTGAGACTAAAAGGGGGAAGAGCATATAAGAGAGGGATCCATATTCATCTTGACTAATGTATGAGAATTTAACTAGAAACTAGACCAAGTATATTGGTTAATAGTCTAACTAAGTTTCTAATAAAATAGTATCATCCAACACTATTTTGAGAAATCCTACGTTTCATTTTTTGAAAAATTGATAATATTTGAAACATTCTAACCTTTGCAATTTGTAAGGTTCCTATTATATTTTTTGAATATTATAGACCTGGATATTAAGAGTATAGACAACTGCAAGACCTAGACTTACTGAAGTAAGGTTGGCATGTGGGCCGGGTCGGGTCCGGTCCTAAGTGGACTTCGTGGGCCAGGCCCGATCCTAAGTGGGCCTGGCCCCAACTTAAACGTGCCTATGTGGGCTCGGGCTTTGCGGGTTTTTGTTGGAATCGACCCGGGACCGGGCCCACGAACTAATGGTCCCGGGCTAAGCAGGCCGGTCCCGGGCTAAGCGAGCCCAACGGATACTTTCTATTTTTTTAAAAAAAATTATAGAAGTTAGAGAAAAAAAATGGTAATAAAAATATCTAAGGCAATTCCTTGTAAATTATATTATAGAATTGTGACCTAAATTTTTTAATTCAAATTTAAAGATAAAAATATTGTAAAGAGATATTCAAAGTAAGGCTGGCATGTGGGTCAGGCCCGGTCCTAAGTGGGATTTGTGGGCTGGTCCTAAGTGGGCCCGATCCCAACTTAAACTGGCCTATGTGGGCCCGGGCTTTGCGGGCATTTTGTTGGAACCGGCCCGGGACTGGGCTAAGTGGGCCCAACAGATACTTTCTATTTTTAAAAATATTTTTATAGAAGTTAGAGAAAAAAATGGTAATAAAAATATCTAAGGCAATTCCTTGTAAATTATATTATAGAATTGTGACCTAAATTTTTTAATTCAAATTTAAAGACAAAAATATTGTAAAGAAATATTCAAAGCAATACGTTATAATTAACTATAATATTAAAAAAAATATGGCAATATCTTTCTTAGTCTTCCTCCCCCTATGGAATGAGCACAACAAGGTGTTAATACCACCATTGAGAAGAAAAAGAAACTAATCAAGATGTGCCAAAATACAAGTTACATATTAATTTTTGTTCATACAAGTTACATGGTATTTCTTACAAATTTCATAAATCCTTCAAGGTCCGGAGGAATTTCCGTTGGTGGTGGCGGAAAAGAAGTTTGGTCATCACCGCTTCCGGGCGAAGCAGCATCCTCCGCAAGTTCAGCTAGCATTTCTTTGTAAGCTTCGTCTACCTCTGGTTGTGATTCAGCAAGTTCAAAATTTCTTTTTTAAAAATAAATTAGAGCCGTTGGGACCGTTTAGGCCCGCTAGGACCGGACTGATCCCGGTCTCGCGCAAAGGACCGGCCCACTTGCCAGGCCCCCCTCCCCCGGTCCCTGTCTTAAACGGTTAGGACCGTTTAGGCCCACTAACCATATGGGCCGATCCCGGTACTGGACCGGCCCACATGCCAGGGTTATACTGAAGTGAAGAGTCATTGTGATCAGCCAAAATAGTCAAAGTGACAGCAAATGCAGAAATTACAAGGGGCAAAAAAATTGAACAGTAAACGTGCCAAACGTAAAATAGATGTCTGCCAAGCAAAGAAGTCCGTCTAGATCTGGAAAAAGAACACGCAAATGATCTTTCGATCAGTAGAAACAAATGATATATTCCTCGGGCAAAATGAACATACAGGCGAGTTTATTGTTCACTTGTTACATTGTAAAACAGTCAAAATATGCAAAACTGTGACATTGTTACAAGATTTGCGTAAGAGTTTATTTTCTAGTTTCTCTGCTGTGGTCGTATGCCTTTTCCTAGCTGCCTCCGCGAAAAAAATAACTCGGTTTACTATTCGATAGTTGTTTTTTCTTTGTTGCCTCAGATGATAGTATGACATAACCAAAGTGGACACTGCACACACTTCAAAATCCCGGTAAAACTGAGAAATCTACTATTCCCCTTGGCAAATCTGCTATTTTCTTCAGCATAGCAAGCCGGTTTGTCCTGATCCGTTCGTCCTTCTGCAAGATGCATACAGAACAATTAATATGAAGAATTAGGGAGGCACAGCTATGCACTATAGTTGCACCGGCAGATTATGCTTCAATTAGATTGAGATGCATTATAGGACAAACTGCACTTTTTTAGATTGAGAGAGGAGTTATGTTAACAAAGATAAGCAGATGGGTACATGCACCAAGCCAGGAAGCCCTCCAATAGGAAGCTGAAAAGAATAAACTAAGCAAAGCAAACATGATACTACTCTATCCAATGCTTATAAAAATTGGTTAATGCTTCAGAACTATTTAAGTTTTTCAAATCTAAGAAGTAAAAAGAAATCAGAGGAACCTACCACCATTACAAAGACCTTGTTGAAAAAATCCTCCAGCGGTTCTATAAGCTCTGACGATGCTTCAACAAAATCATCAATTTCCATTTCTGTATATGAACAGTCATACATACATGCTTCAATTGCAAAATATGTTGGTAAAAACTCAATCAACTAGCTAAACGTTGAATGTATTTACAGTGTAATCAATCAGGATAACAGGCAGCTATATTTGTTTGAATATATTAGGAAATGCTATTCATCTGGAAGGGAGGCAATACCTGGATGAGTTTTACTTCTTAGTGACAAGAAAGTGCTCCACAAAGCTTTTTCTTCATTTGTTTCGAAAGCTTGATCATCCACCTGAATTTACAATGAGAATATGTTTTACTTGATAAGAACAAACAACGCTAATAATCAGCCAACTAAACCATTGATGTTGCAGACTTCTCACTATTCTACCAACTAATCACCAGTATGAATAGAAGAGTCATGATTCTTGAATCTTGACTAAAAAGGGAGTCCAACGCTACACATCGTCAGATGACCATGGAGCTTGACAATATTAACAATTGTATTAACTAGTCAGCGGAGAAGATCAGAAACAAATTATTTATAGTTGTGCCATAGAGAAAAGCTTCTACTGTCCTACATAACACCTCAATAAATGCCTTTGGTGTAAGGAACAGCATTTCATTACAGGTGCAATTGACATGCATAGTAATTCTATACAGGAAAATCAATGGAATGGAAAGAGAGTATGTTCCAAAACTCGTATAATGGAGTATAATAGCAATTAAACTATACAAGGAAATTTGTTGAGCATAGAATAAGATTCACCTCCGCATCAACATTTGCATCCTTCCCACGAACAATTCTTGTTGGACGAGAATATGCTTCAACAACCTTAGGCAAAAGCTCTCCTTTGGACAAGGACTCCATCTATGTATGATGGCAATGAATATCAATTACAGTTTAAAACATCACAATACTTTTCTAACTCACTCATTGCTCCAATCAGAGCCAATTGTACACTTTATATTCAACACGAAACGAAGACAAAGTACATGTTTAACTGCAATGAAAAAATTTCCAACACTTGGCCACATTTTGAAGAATTAAAGCTCAGAGTTCCTGGGTTATATTTTATATTTCTTGATAAAGAGTTATACTTTATATTTCAATTACATGATATTCAAATACAGCTGAAGAGGTAACTTTGACTATGAGTACATACAGGAAAATTTACGAAAAGAGGGTTAAAAAGAATACATCATCCTCCCAATTTATGTGGCATTCTGATGCGTCTTTGTCCAAGGTCCTGGATATGAAACTACTCAAGATATCATCTTGCCACCTTATGTAGAAATCAATGACTTAAACACAACATATTGAGGTCCAAATTGCACATATGCATAAATTCTTTTAGATAAATTAAAGAATTGATAATTAAACAAGAGTAATTCAAAAATACACAAAACATTATTATCGTGATTAGATTTTCCGAATAATTAGTGACAGAATCCTAATGAACATGTTCGGTACAATAGAACATGTTCAAAATTACAAACTTTGCTTTCATAGTCGAACTATGGTGCAATTGGGGAGTAGTACGAAAGAGTAAGTTCATATAAAATTAGAAAGCCTTAATTTTTTCGGATTGTGGAGGGCAGCCCAGGGGGAGGTTAGGGGTGTTTGGAAGGAGACAACAGTTGAACATCTAGTGCAGAAATATCATATTGCAGATGCATCATGGAAACATCAAACTCCTGAACGTTCAGATGTATCTCTAACGCGTCCAATCTTTCAAAAGGACACTGCCATCAAGCAGTTATGTGGACTACATGGACTGAGAGCAATAAGGAGCTTTGAAGAGAAAGAAAACCCATTATGGCATTTACAACATAACTGCCATCAAGCAGTTATGTTGAAGTGTGTGACCATCTCATCTAAAAGCTTAAGCTGTTAGAGAGAGCACATTTTATTTACTTAATTGTCTCTTCCACAATGTATAACGGATTGAATGGAGAAGAGAAGAACTCCTTGCACCTTATGGATATAGGATATTCTGACTTTTGTTGATAAACATAAATAGAAATTTTTCAAATTGCCATATGTAATAGAAGAAATGTTGCCTCTTAAGATATGAAAGAGGCCAAAAGTATCAGCAAAGCATAAAACAAATAAGTGAGTGCACAATTAAAGTAAAAGAAAGGTAGTTACCTTGTACACCGATTTAGTTGCCAAACAAGGTCGACTTGCACGCTCGGAAAGAACAGACCTTACGACTTCAGGGCTTATACCTTTGTCCATCTGTAATTGAAAAGCAGAACATGTCAATAAGGAAATAAAGAATGGTCTTTTTCACATGGATAAGTAATGGAATGGAAAGGTCTCAAGACTGTCAATAAGGAAATGATCATACTCTTCTTCACATGGATAATTGATAAAAAGGATCACTGAAGAGATCAAAATTATCCCACGATGTTCAAATACTGGACAAAAAGAAACCTAGAACTAGTTCACGTGCTAAGATGATAAAGATCTGGAACCCTAGAGGCAAAGCTAAATCCAGCTCCAGAGAAAACAGGGACATATTTAGAAGGACTACTAACTGTGAAAAGAAAAAGAAAAGAAAACTACAAAAACAAATAACAACAGCAGAATAATAGGTGTTCATGAAAATGAGACATACCAGAAATTGCTCTAGTCTTCGTGTTACAAATTGTTGTACCTTAAATGGAAAAAAGAAAAAGATGTATCTTGTCAGATTATGACTCCTGACTTTGTGAGAATAAGCAAAGGACCACATGCATCGTATAAAGGACGAAAACTTTCCAATTTATCATTAAAGTTTACCAGGATTAACTTAGTACTACTAGTATATAGCTTATTTAATTTTCTAGCATACAGGACCAAATAGGGCTAGTGAATTTTTCCTTTATTTCAACAGAACCAAGTAGGGCTACTGCTGCAATTCTCCAAACTAATAAACGAATAGGGTGCAATTTTACATCATTGATTGTCCTGACATCTACTTCAATGGGCTGTACTGCAGCAGCAAGCTCTAAAGCCTGTCTTAAGTCTATATTTCTGTTACTTTCAACCAAGAGTTGCACCTGCAATAAAACAAACGCAACCATTATTTTACAGTATTTTAAATGACCAAAGCTTTTCAAAGATTAAGACATACAAGACCATATGAGATCCTTCGCAGGCCAAATGGATCATTACTTGAGCTTGGCTGACAGCCAGCAGCAAATAAGCCAACAAGGCTATCCAGCCTGCAGTAGAGATAGCACTATATGAGAGACGAAATAAAAATTGGAAACTGCACAATCAAGAGAATGAGATTCAGGGAAAGACATCTATCATAGTGTCGCTAGGATATTAAGTGCATTGGAGTTAAAGCATGTAGAAGTATTGCAATATAAAAACAACCTTGCATGCAATATCAGTGGTAGCTAATTTCAAAGAATAACCAAATTGAGGCAAGCAGGTTAGTAGATTACAGACTACCAATCAGAAGAAGATTGCAAGTACACTACACTTTTCGATGCATTTCTCCCTCAGGTTAATGCAAAACACGTGCAACATCTCAGATACGAATCATTCTACACTGATCTCAAGCAACAGGAAAAATATTTGCAATAAAAAAGATGTCCCATATTTTGTTTAGAACGCTAGAAGCAATTCATATGACACGCAGTGACATGAACCATACTTTTTCATAATCCTAATGACCATCTAGAAAACTTAAACTGAAAGGTGAAAAACGTTAGTCATACCTGTCAGTAATTGCTAAAACGGCCCCAACTTCAGTTTTTGGGAGCATATCTCCAGAAAATCGTGGAAGTGAGATCTCAAACAATGCCTCTGCAATCTGTAAAGCACATGACAGCGAATCTTTTAATGTAGTTAACGAAAATGAAAATAACACCAAAACAATGAAATAAATAACAAAAGTTCGCTTTTTTATAACTGAGAAATTCCGGAAGGACAGGGGCACACGGTTCAGAACTCGGTGGATAATGGGTCCACCCCACTACCCTTTTCCACTTAAATATCAGGCTTTTGTCTCGGTAGAGTTCGGACCAGTGACGTGCGCCTAACCCACACATCACGTGTTGCCCTCTTACCACTAGACCAAAGCCCCGGGGGCTTTCACAAAAGTGTGAATCTACATTTTTATAATCAAAAGAGAGAATCAATGTAACACCAAAATAATGAAATAAATCAATAAAGTGTGAATCTACATTCTTAATCAAAGTGAAGAATATACATACAAAGTTAAATAGCAGGCAATTCTTTGAAATAATGAAGCTTTGCCTCAGCCAAGTATATCATTGGGACTTAATTACATGATAATGTTATAAAATAGTAATTAAGCAATCTATTCAAAAATCGCTCAGCAATGTTGTGCATCAAGCCTGTAACATGTGACTTGACAAAGTAGACCGCAACTCTCTGTGAAAAAAAATCCATATTGGATTGCCTTTGCCTCATGAAACTGACATCACTATGCCATTACAGGAGTGCATACACATGAATGCAAACATATTAAGCCAATGGAGAAAGACGCATCTATGTATTGCCCTTAATTTATTTTTTCTAGCCTGCGGATACCTGGTCCTCTTCTCTGGACTCTTTGTCCATATTAAAAGAAATTCTTCTCTTATTCAAAATAAAAGGATAGAACAATGAACCCTCAAGCGTTGTCAAAGGCGAAAAGCTCTAAAAAGCGCTACAGTTCTACTGGAGCTTTAAGCGCAAAGCGAGATTTAAGTGTGGGCTTTAGTACAAAAAAAGGCACAACAAAGGAAAAAAGATAAAAATATATATGTAATTCAAGAAAAAGTAATAAATTCATTCATAATGTTTTCCTTAAAAACAAGTACGCTTATTTGCCTATTTTATGTGTTATTTAGTATTGTTCGATTCAAGATAGAACTTATGGGCAGTGAAGTGCACGCCTTAGTTACTTCACTACATCGAAGTGCAGCTTAAGCGAGGCGAATCGCCGCCTCCCTGAGCTTTCCTGAGCTTCAAGGCCTAAGTGCGCTTTAAATGAGCCTTTGACAACACTAGAACCCTCTCAACATATTTGCTAAAAAACTTTCTCTCTTTGAAATAAACCTCTTCTGATGTTGATTATTGCTGCTAAAACATGAATTAAACATTGATTCCATCGGAATTTGATCTTAGTGAAGGCTAAAATCCAAGAGAACCACGCATGTTAAAAGAAACAAAGATCAGGCTAGCCTCATTTCCTCAGTGCTTTGGAAGACGCTTCTTTTGCAGTGGTGCTAATATAACGATTAAACCACAGACCAGACATAAGGTAATGTACATTTAGAATAAACACACATATGTATATGATCAATTAGCAAATACTATTAGAAGATAATCAAAAACACAAAAACTAGGATTAATCGAAAATTGAAGTCTAAACTTGCCACAAAAATATCCATAAAAATGTGGTTCTAACTACCTCCTCTGAATAGCCATCTCTAAGTGCATAGTGGCGCCCCATTGTCCCTGAGAGAGAGGTAAACTCTGTAACAACTGCGGTTGCAAGATCTGCCATGGCTAATGAGGCCGCATCTTGGATGACTTTGAGTTTGTCTTCACTAATTCCAAGAGACAATCCAACTTCACTAACCAAATTCTGAACTCGTGACATTTTATCTAACATAGTTCCTAGCTTCTCCTGCATAGACACATTATCATTTTGCAAAAACTAGATCAACAGAAATTAAGGGCTAAGAATCAACATATTTGCTTCAATCACTAGCCAGATATACCATGTGGGACTATGGTCTCATAACAAAATTGTTTGAAATTCATAAAATATTAAGAATGTTATGAAGGAATGCTCCCAGGCACATTTCCCAAGACTAAATCTTCTTAGTCTTTCTTTTCGTTCCAACCACTTTTGCAGGGGAGAATTCCGGTGTTGTGGCCGGATTTAACCAGTTCCTTACCAATATAAGTTTAAGATTACTATCTCAATAGAGATGGGTGCCAATATCATTTATTTTGCAGTGAGTTTTAAGTCATATGAAATCATCAGAAGTGAGTCCAGAGCTGAGGAATGGTATGAATGGACGGAGCGCGGCAGAAATCTTATCAGAAGAACCACTTTCAGCAGGAAGACGATGGCGTGGCTTTGCGAGATCTTGAAGGAAGCTTCGAAAATTAAAGGGAAACACGTAAAAAGATGGAAATTTCATGATCAGTTTTCTGAGTTTTTCTGTGCAAGAAATTATAACAAGTATGGTCGCTACATAACTATAATCAGTGTTCAAGGGAGAAGGAGATCAGTCATTATTATCCCGGAGAGAGCATTTAATACTGGATGGCTGGATATTGCCTTGAAGATTGAAAGATTCATTAATTACAAAGTCAGACAAACTGTTATAAATGCACCCAGAATTACAGAGAAAGGTCTTTTGTACTCGGATACTACCAGAAGATATAAATGGTCCTCCAGAGAGATGAATGAAGCTACGATCCAGACGAAAGGTGATATCATAAGTATTCCTGGAGATTCCAACATTATGCAGAATGATCTCCTAAGCAGGAGCTTGGTGGGTAGCTTGCCAGAAGAAATTTCCGATATCCCTGCCTTTTCGGAAATTTGCCGTTGGGTTAGCAGCAACTGGAAGCAGGCTCACGGCACCAACATCTATGAGATGGGCTACAATCGATTGCTTTTTGAATTTTCTTCTAAATTAGTGGTTGACGACGTTCTGAGAGGAGACTGGAGTTGGAAAAAGCATAAAATTAACCTTCAATGATGGTCTCCGAAGGTGTGCTCTGTTCCAAGAGAAAAGAAGATAAATCATGTGTGGATCAGACTTGTAGGGCTTCCTCTTCAGCTGTGGTCCCATAATGTTTTCAAAAAAGTTGGGGATTTTTGTGGTGGGTGGATTCAAACTGAAGAAGAAACAGAACTGAAAAACCACCTAAAATGGGCGAGAATAAAAGTTAAAGGTGATGGCAGTTCAGTTCCTAAAGCAGTTCCTAAAGCGGTGAAGGTGGAGTTTGAAGGTTTAATATCGGAGATCCAGATTTGGTGTGAAGCTCCAGTACGTATCAGTATCGAAGAAGACGGAGGAGGGAGGCAATCGGACCTTCGGATAAAAGAGGCTACTCAAAGTACCAAGGGAGGGGCTCAATGTATTTCTGACATGACAGGGCACGTGGGATGCTCATAATTTTCATGTAATGTGATTTGGAAATCCACACGTGACAGCTCACGTGAGAAAGGGGCACAAGTTTTAACTCCAAATCTGGATAGGGAACAACAGGTTATTAAGAGGACATTGGGCCCAGATATTTTGGCCCAATGTGTATCGGAGGAGATCTCTTTTAGGGGCCATAATCCTGAACCCAAATCAGGGCCCAGGCCCGATCCTTTTAGTGAAGAGATAAAGGCAAATAATCGAGGAATAGATACGATCATACAAATCCCATCAGGCATAGAAGTCTTCAGAGGGAGACAACAGAAAAGAACAGGAAGGAAAGAAGTAAGATCAGCAGAACCCAATTGAAGAGCTCAATGCTATGACTCTATTCGAAGACAGAGGTATACAAGATGAACTACTGGAAACCTACAGCACACACATGCAAGCAAAAGAAATGGAGAAAGCTGTTGGATGGGCAATTGAAGAAGCAATACCTCTAAACCTTCAAAGTTTAGAGGAAGAGAAGGATCCGGAATTTGATGCAACTATCTGGGTTCATCAGAATATAATTAGACTTAGCAAGGAATTTGGTGTCAACTTTCAAGGCTGTGAAAGAGAAGCTTTGGAGCTCTTTTCAAAAATCGACAACAAAAGACAAGAGAACAAAGGGAAATCAGAACTACAGGAGATGGAGACTCCAAAAAGAATGGGCTTCAAAGAGTTAAAGGGGCTGGAAATTGGGAGTAATTTCAGGAGTAATGGAACTAGAAGTAAGGGGGGATGTATCGTCATAAGAGATCAATGAAGGTAAACATTTTATCATGGAATGTTAGGGGGTTAAATCGTCAAAGGAAGAGAGTTCTTATAAGAAGTATGATGAACAGCTGGAAAGGAGATGTTTTTTGCTTTCAAGAATCCAAGTTAGAAGGGGATATCAGGGAGATTGTTAAAGAGTTATGGGCCAATAAGTGGGGGAATTTTGCACAATTAAAAGCTAGTGGGACTAGAGGGGGTATAGTTGTTCTGTGGGACAAAAGAGTATGGGATGGGGAAATTAGCAGCTTGGGGTCTCACACTATCACTTGTAAGTTTTCTGGTAAATCCCAAGAACTTATTTGGCACTTATCTAGTGTGTATGCACCGAATGACAGAAGAGACAGGGAAGAAGTGTGGTGGGAATTGGCAGGGGCCAGGGGTTTATTTGATGGACCATGGGTGGTTTGTGGAGATTTTAATACTGTGAGATTTCCATCAGAAAAGAAAAACTGCAACAGAATTACAAGAGGGATGAAGGATTTCACTGATTTTATTGAAGATATGGATCTAGTAGATATGCAGTTAGAAGGAGGCAACTACACATGGAGAAAAAGTTACAATCATAATATAGCTGCTAGGCTGGACAGATTTCTAGTATCTGTTGACTGGAATGAATGATTCAGAAACATCAAACAATCAATACCTCATAGAATAACTTCAGACCACTCACCACTGATGCTTCAATGTGGCAACTGGGATCCAGTCAAATCTTACTTTAAGTTTGAAAATTGGTGGTTGCAAACAGATGGATTTACAGATAGAGTTAGAGATTGGCGGAATTCCTTTAGTTGGGAAGGAAGTCCTGACTTTATTTTGGCTTTCAAGCTCAAAGCCTTGAAGGGAAAACTTAAAGAATGGAGCAAAACTTTACAAGGAAATCTGGAGTTGCAGAAAACAAGTGTCCTTAACCAGCTTGCACAATTGGAGGAGATTCATGACCAGAGGCCTCTGAATGAAGTGGAAATTTATGCAAAAACTGCCCTAGCTATGGAGTTTGAAGACATCGCAAAGCATGACGAGGTGGCCTGGAGGCAAAGATCCAGAGCCTTGTGGTTGAAGCAAGAGGATAAGAACACAAAAATTTTCCACAGAACCGCCAATTCATATAGGAGATATAACCATATTGAGCAGCTGGTAGTACAGGGGGAGTTGATACAGAATCCTGGTGATATCAAGAAAGAGATTGGTACTTTCTATCAAAAGTTATATTCTGAAGAAGAGGTTTGGAGATCACAAGGTAATCTTAGGAACTATCCTATGCTTACTCCAGAAGACAATCAATTGCTCCAAAGTCCTTTTGGTATTTAAGAAATTTGGGATAGTGTGAAGGCATGTGCAGGGGATAAAGCCCCGGACCTGATGGAGACTAAATGGCCTTCTTCATTCACTGCTGGGAAGTGGTGAACGAGGAAGTAATAGCTGCAATTCAAAACTTCTATGACCAGGGTATTTTTGAAAAGAGTTCCAATGCCACCTTTGTGGCATTGATTCAAAGAAGGTGGGAGCCAAGGAACTGAAAGACTTCAGGCCTATCAGCTTGATAGGTAGCATCTACAAAATCATCTCCAAGTTATTGACATAGAGACTTAAGAAAGTAGTGAATAAGCTGGTGGATGTTCAACAGATGGCTTTCATTAAAGGTAGGCAAATAATGGATGCCATTTTAATTGCCAATGAATGCGTGGATGCAAGGATATTAAGCAAGAAGCCTGGCATCTTATGCAAATTGGACATTGAAAAGGCTTATGATCATTTGAATTGGAACTTTCTACTTGACACTATGAGGAAGTTGGGTTTTGGTGGTAGGTGGGTTCATTGGATTAAGTTTTGCATCAGCACAGTAAGATTCTCAATTCTAATTAATGGAACACCAGCTAGTTTCTTTCCTTCGCAAAGGGGCCTAAGGCAGGGTGACCCCCTATCTCCTTTTTTTATTCATCATTGCGATGGAAGGCTTGAATAATATGTTGAAGACGGCTCAAACACACAATTGGATAAGGGGATTCAGGGTAAACTCCAAGGCAGGTAATCAATTGGAGATTTCTCATTTGCAATATGCAGATGACACCCTTGTGTTCTGTGAAGCTGATAAAGAACATTTGCTAATGCTAAGGATCATTTTTATTTTGTTTGAGGCCATATCTGGTTTGCATATTAACTGGAATAAAAGCTTTATTTATCCAGTTCATGAGGTGACAGAGATTCAAAATTTGGCTGAAATCCTTGGAGGAAAAATTGGATCATTATCTACAGTATATTTGGGGATGCCTTTGGGGGCTAAAAGCAAGTCAAAAGGGATATGGAATGGGGTCTTAGAGAAATGTGAGAAGAAGCTAGCTAACTGGAAGAGCCAATACCTGTCTATGGGAGGAAGATTAATCTTGATTAACTCAGTACTTGATGCTATGCCTACATATATGATGTCTTTATTCCCAATCCCAGTGAATGTGGTGAATAGAATAGATGCCTTGAGAAGAAATTTCTTATGGGAAGAAAACAGTGATTAAGAAGAAAATTCACCTGGTCAGATGGAATTCCCTTACTTGTAACAAGAAGGAAGGGGGGGTTGGGAATTAAGAATTTGAAGATTCAGAATCAGAGTGTTGATGAAGTGGTTATGGAGATTTTCTTCAGAAGAACAATCCCTATGGAAAGAGGTAGTCAAACAAAAGTATGGTATGGAAAGAAAATGGACAACCAAGCATGTGAGAAGCCCCTATGGGGTCAGTTTGTAGAAGTCTATTAGAAACTTGTGGCCTAAGCTCGTTAACAAGTCAAGCTTCAAAGTTGGAAATGGTAGGAAAGTATCTTTCTGGGAGGACAATTGGCTAGGCCAGGCTTCACTGAAACAACTTTTTCCAGACATATATTTACTAAATCAACAGCAAGAAGCAACAATAGGAGATGTGTGGTCAAACCAGGGTTGGAGTCTTACCTTCAGGAGATTACTGTATGATTGGGAGATTGATCAGATTTCAGAGGTCTACAAGATCTTGGAACACTTCAAAGGGACCTCCAATGCTGAAGATGGTGTGACATGGCAAGGGAATAGCAAAGGAAAGTTCTCAGTCAAAGCAGCATATAAGGAATTCAATATTTCAAATAATCAAGTTGGTTGTTGGCCATGGAAATTGATTTGGAAGGTTAAAACTCCTTATAAAGTGGCCTGCTTTACATGGCTATTGGCAAAGGAGGCAGTCCTAACCCAGGATAACTTGGCCAAGAGAGGATACCAACTTTGTTCTAGATGCTACTTGTGTGGAGACGAGGCAGAGACAATCAGTCATCTTTTTTTGCACTGTAGGGTGACTTCACAATTATGGAGGATGTTCATCAACTTGAGGAGATTCTTGTGGGTTATGCCAAGAAGAATTCTTGAAGTTCTAGCTTGAACATAGAAGGCAACCTTTCCAGTCATAGAGAGATGGAAAATTGTCCCTACTTGCATCTGGTGGGCAATTTGGAAAGAAAGAAACCGAGATGCTTTGAAGATAGATCCAGCAATGTCCAAAAGATGAAAATGAATTGTTCAGTTCTTTTTTACTTTTGGTGTAAAGGAGAATACTTAGAAAAACATGAATCTATTTTTGATGTATGAGAATTCTTATGAGAAGAAAAAGGATTCGGAGAGCTTCTCCTATGCTTCACCTTGTAATTATGGATGATTCCACAGTTTCTGTGTAATCTTATTATTTATATACAAATGTTACCCTTTCAAAAAAAAAAAAATTGTTCGAAGCACTAGTCAGATATACGATATGAGATTATAGTTTCATATGTATATTCATTTAATAAGTGAGATTCATTAATTGCACCAAGAAAGTGCTGGTATGTCCATCAAAAGGACTAATTTAAGATTTGATAAATTACAGACAATTCTATAAGACTTCCTTTTCACAGAATAAAGAATTCAATACTAAACCTTGTATCTAAATTTAACAATAAATAAGAATTCCCTGATCAGAGAGGCCAACAAAAGCTGCAATTATCTAAAAAACGAAAAGTGTAAGATGGAAATCTAAGACTTACATGGAAAAGAATCCCTTTCAGTTGAGGACGAAATTCAGAAAATTTTCTACTTGTGTCCATCTCGTAGAAAAATTTTGCATCTTCAAATCGAGCTCTGCACAGATGCGTATGCAGTTCATATCTTTAAGCACATACCAGTTATCATAAAGAAAGCTGATACAGGATCAAAGTGAAATCATAAAAAGTGCAAGTATCTTATTTGAGCCTGCTTCGACTCCTGCATGTAGCACCTAGATCAAAACTTAGGGAATGTTCAGGAAAAGAGCCAAACTAAAGGATAGTAACCTCAGCACAGCTTCATTTCCTTTTCTGACTACCTTGTCATCAATTGATCCATTTGCAACCTGAAAGATCAAATCCATATCAAGTTACAGACACAAATTAACATCTCACATTCAGCTAAGCATGCCACTGTTTTCCACAGATACAAGATAGTGAGGATTTCTCACCGTGATGAAGTACGGCAACAGTTTCCCGTCCTCATCTGTCATGGCGAAGTATCTTTGATGCTTCTGCATCACCTGCAATACGCGAATAAGAGCTCCAGAAATACTCAAAAATAGCGATATGCAATAGCAAGGAAAATGACAAACACAGAATGTCATTCTTAAACCAGCACCCCCCCAATGACCCGCAGTCAACACATGCTCGACAGTTACCATCACCTCAATTTACTAGGTAGGAGATGATAACAGATATGCATGGAACCATGTATTCTTCCCTGCACTGCAACCGGTAAGCAGTTATATATGAATTAAGCTATTGGTTTTTGGATATCCAAATGAAAGAAAGAGAAGTAGGGAAATGATATTATTTTGGTCAAAGAAAGGACTGTTGACACATATAGTGTTTAATCCTAAAGAAAAGCTTATAGTATTCAGCCCACGCTAGCAGAAATATTACATAATCTTCCCAGAACTGTAGCATCTAAATTTCTGATCCAGAGAGAGAGATGGGTTAAAAGGGATTGTCCTTAAGTAGAATTTCAAAATTCTTATTCCCATCACCAGAGGCATTAGTATTTTCTGCACAACCCTAATAATATCACAAAATGACGAAAAGGACAAAACAATTTAAAGTTCCAGAGAGTACTCGAGTTTACCATTATAAGAAGCTCCTTTGGAAGCTCTAAGAAGGAGTCATCAAATTTGCCAAGTACAGGTAGTGGTGCCTCAACAAGATTTACGACCTAAGCATCCAGGAAAATGCTTAAATACTATTCTTCTGACAATTGAATAGGACAAGTCTGAAACTTCACCTGTTACCTCATCAAGCAAATCACTTTTCATTACAATATGGCCATGTACACTTTTCGCTAAATCATTTGAGTGCTCCATAATTGTCTTCTTGCGTTGCTGATATTTGATAAAGGTTGAATATCCAGAAAAATCATCAACAAGCATAGGAAGTACAATGGAAGTTTATAAAAAACTTGAATTACCTTGACATCAACAAGAATCCCAGCATCCTGAATTAAATGTGCATAGGTTTCTGCATCCAAAATCTGTAGTATTTTGTTGAGAGAATCCATCAGTGATTTTGCTTCCAAGGGTAAAGGAAGTAGTATAGTAATTCTCCTAAGAAAGTGAAGCTATGAATCTCACTAAAATATTTAAAATAGAGAAAAAGAAAAAAAGAACTTGAATTGAATTGATTTTTAACAACATATATAGAAGTCTTTTAGGCTACGAAAGACATGATAAGTAATTAGTCTCTATGTTGGTAAATATTTCTTCTTGATGGTAACATAAAGTATTAACAGTGGGAAAAATCTCGCTATTAAGAAAGTGAGTCTTGGGCTTAACTCACCTCAAAAGATAACTCATGAGATAAGGATCGTCCAAGACCATCTAGGGATACAACATCACATTCCCTCAACCAATGTGGGACTTCACCCTTCCTCCCCTGTACATCCAGGATCTAGTACGAGGACAACATAACATGGGAGCCCAATGTTGGGTAAACCGAGAATAGGGATGGGTTTGGCTCTAATACCATGTGAGAAAATCTAAACATCCAACCCAAAACCTTAAGGCAAGAAATGGCGTAGTCCAAAACCATTAAACCCCGTACGAAACTCTTGCATAACCGATGAGGCCAAGTATAGCATTCCCTAACCCCCTCTTGCACATGTAACTTTGTTCTAGGTTTTACACACGGATTAAAGACTTAAAATATGTTTTGTTTGCTCCATCCTTTTTTTTAAAGGAGATAGAAGAGCGGACCGGATGTATAGATAGACAGAGAGAGTTAGAGAGTATCAAAATTTCAACTGATTGGACCACTCCCCCTCGATGTCAACCATGTTAAAAAGCATATCTTTTTGGAACCCTAGGGATCCAACTGATGGGTGAGAAGCCAGACTCCTCACTAATAAAAAGCTTACAGTAATACGCCTTAACTATGAATAGTCCACGCTCCCGTCCCCACGCCTACTTGTCCTGGCTAACCTGTATTATACTGTGTTTTATAAAGCATTTCAACCAGCCTTCAGAATTCTACGACCTCCCAAATGGAAGTGTGACATTTTTCACTATCACCTCCCCCCAACAAGCATGCCTCTCAACCTCAAATTTTCATAGCCACTTTCCTGATAGGGCCTTATCAATGACTCTAAGATATTTCACCTCAAGGCCTCACCATCTCCTTAAGGATGTTAACCGCCTCCCAACACACCAAAAGAGGCTTTCTTGCTCCATCTGCTATGAAAATAGGAATTTCTTTAGGAGTATTTCCAATTTACTTAAAAGCTGGCCTATACACAATATTCAAACACTAAAGACATTCTAAAATGTCAAATATTATGGAAGAAACAAAAAGAGCTGTGACACTGAACCGACCACCAGAAGAGACGAGACTAGTAAAATTATGAAAAGAACGAAAAACTCTATCTAGGCAGGTGGTGTAAGGCCGACAGCCGAAGGCAAAAGCTGCTTATGCCTTTAACAAAAAGGTAATGGTTCTAACTTTCTCAAGAAAAAACACAAGATCGTTATGGTTCTAAAACCACGTGAAAATAGAGAAAAAAGTAAAGAGCAGTTGTATTAAATTGGGTATCAACAATGTACAAGAAGGATTCCTTTCCTAATAAGTTATGTAACTTCCTAATGTTCAAGACATAATATCCTATGATGTCTTATAAACCACAATGGAATATTGTATAATATTCGCATACTCAAATTCAATGAATCTAGACATATTCCGAACATATAACAGCATTAGTTCCCTTGATATTCAATCGTAATGAGAAAGCACACAAGGCAGATGCAACAAAAAGATGAAAAAATGGTGAGAAAGGCGGCAGCAAAATGTCTACAATTTTGTTCACAGACCTTAACTGTAGCTGATGGAGTATTGCGTAGACCATGAGATATATTTCCACTGTAGGAAAATAAACAAATAAAGTAGTAAGAGACAAACCAAAAGCCATAAAAACCAGTAAAAACTAAAAATGAACACTGACCACATAAAATCAGGAATACTACTGATAAATGCACAAAAATATATGCAGTCCAAGTACTCATCGAAAAAAATGTGTGTATTTTGAATTACCCAGGGCTGTGGCACAAAGTCAAGATTTTGAATTTCATTAACAAATCTGGTGCTCCAACAGGATGCATTCTGAAGTAATTTGGAAAATGAAAATCAAAGCTAAAACAACTGCAGCCTGCTGAGATAAATAAGGAAAGACAGGATACATCTATACTGGAAGCTTCACAGGAAGAAAGACAAGATAATCAAGTGTATGACAAAGTCAACTTCAAGAAAAACTTTCCTGCAAGTGCACTGCCCTAAAATAGTCAGATATTGAAAGAAAGCTGAGATCACTCACTAGTTTCTTCTACTAAACTTCCATTTTCCCTTCAAATAACCACATACAACAGAGCTTTTATCATTCTATTTAACGTTTTACTGAAGTCCCTTGACACAAATTCTCGTGACTTTCTTGACAGTGGACATCAAACAGAGAATTAGCTTCCTTTCAACCCCACCAACCCCCCTCCCTTTTGTGATAGGTGGGTGTAATAGGAGGAGATAATCAATGCCAATATAATTTAAGAGTTGACAAATTACTGAAACCTCAACCCTCCTGTTAGGCACATTTGGAATAAAGTAGTAATGGAACTTCTTTTGAACAAAAAAAAAAAAAAAAAAGTGCAAGCAGGTGCTCAAACTTGCCTAACAACTCCAGCATAAATGAATGGAAGAACCACATCTCCATGAAGGGCCAAAATCCAACGGATGGGTCTGCTGAATGCAACCTACATTACAATATCTCAATGCACGTTATATTCATATAGAATTTATACATTCTTTTCTAATTAAAGATTTAAACACGTGAGGAGCTGTGAAGAAAGAATTGAAGATAAATCTATGAATACATTTTGAAGAAAATGCCAATCAAAGCAAATATAGCACCAGAAAATGAAAAAGATTTGCTCCCCTGAACATAACCCAAGTTGATTACTTTGTTGCAATACTAAAAAGGATAAAAGAGCAAAGTTGAAAGGACACCATATAATATATCACTCAATTCAGGGTTGATTGTACTATTCTTTCTTTTACTACTATAGAAAGTAGTTTTGTTATAAGAAAGAGAGAGAAAAAGAGGAAGAACGGGAAGCATTCCAAATGACAACCGATGAAAAGCAGAAGTTATGTAGATTTTTCCAGAATCACAGGTTACTATTGCTGTATTTCAATGGCATAAGACATATAACTTAGTCATGTTTTCTAACATTAAAAAATCATGGATAAATAGATTATGACAAACTTCTATCTTCAATTCAAAAAGAAGAAAGGATATGAAAAATCAGAAAAGAAACATGATTGGATCTCTATCTACACGAACACACATACGTGCTGAATATTGGAGAAAGTTCCTTAAAAGGGAAAGGATAATGGATCCATCCTAATATAAGAGATTTAGACCAGAAGAAAACACACACACACACACACACACACACACACACACACACACACACACACACAAAGAAATAGAACAGAATATCTTATTAGCTTAATTAGGTGTGGTATGGCATATCAGGATAAAGCAAAACGTCTGAATATTCCAAGATTGGTTTTTTCTTCAGCAACATATGCTATGATAGAGTAAGTTTTCAAGTGATGTAAAGAGATAGGTTTTCTTCATGAATAATTGGCCGCCCATGATTGGAGGATTTCTTCTATCTGGTGTATCTCTAGTTTGGGCTGAGCAGAATTACTCCTCTTCCGTAAATCCTGCTTCTCTATCAGAAAATTTCTTATGAAGGAAAACAAAGGCTTCTTTTCTTTTTGACAACAACAGGGACAAGATAGCTGCTAAATGAATTTGAAACTTTCTTTCTGGTGAAACCTCAATTTGTCATAGTAACAGCCAACAAAGTGTTTCTGGCATTGAAGTTCAGTTCCAACCCAACTTTACATCCTAATATCTACTTGCCATCTTTTTCCCTTGCCACCCTGTAAGCTTGATAGGAAGGTTAACAGGAAGACAAATTATTCTGGCTATAGAAACCGGTTTGTTGCATAATATTCGTTATTTTTCAAGGATCAAAAAAGGCAATAAAACACTTTATAATAAACAAACTGAAAAAGAAAAACACAAATATGGTCACGACTCACGAATATTGCAAAGACAAAGGGTTAGTCAAAGTGATAGTACATACATCAGAGTTCCAACGCATAGACTTGGGGAATGATATGCTGGAAATTATGTCAGGTAGCTCTTCAGACAGAACCTGTCGATAGTGACTCAAACAATGAGATCTAAGAAAAACTGAAGAATTAAAAATAAAAATAAAAACATACTTGTTATAATTATAAATTTACACAGAGCAACAGAAGAACTACACGTAGCAACTTTTAAGAGATTGTTCAGGGACACAATAAGCAAATATAATTTCCACCAGAACGGCTTAAGGTTTTATGTACTATTGGTGAGGATGGCATAAATGGAACTGCAAAATTTAACTTGAACTAGTACCCAAAAAAAAAAAGGTTAAATCTTTCAGGTGTCAGTTAAAGATAAAAATGAATAGGAAGAAGGTCCAGTTTTGCCCTTCAACTATGCGAAATGGTCTAACATTACCCTCCGTTAATAGTTGGGGTCAATCATGCCCTCGCTTTATAAAATTGGCACATATTTACCCTTTTTTGCCAACTCAGCATTCGATATCATTAAAAATATATTTCAACTTATAAAAAGTAAAAGAAAAAAGAAAATGAAATAAGATTGGGTCCTTGGACGAAAGCCAGCCCAAGTTGAACAAATAGCTCTTTGTCAAGATGTACTACCATACTCTCCAATTACAGTGGTCATTTCTCTTATCGTTCTTCATAGAAGCTGTCCAGGAACTTGACAACCAGTGGCCAGCTAACTGCCACAATGTGCTACACATCTCTTATAGGTGGTTCTGATGGTAGACCCAGGTACATCGTTAAGACTGATCCACCCTCACAATTAAGTAATGTGCAATAGCTGCTCAATGTTCTCTACCCCCCCCCCCCC